TCTGGGTATACCGTTGTTGGAGTCTTCATAGTTTTCTGTTTCCTCTTCCATCACATCATCACTCATAAATTCATTATTAGTTGATAGATCTTCAAGATCACTATCAAAATCTCTCTCATTTAGCTTGTATTCAATGAGGGCTTGCTCGAAAGACCTTCCTACAATGAGTGTTGTATCTTTGGTGGGATTTGTGGTTTCAATCTGGGTAGAGTGGTTTGTAATTTCCACCATATCATCTACTATAGGTGCGTTTTCAAGATCATCAGTCCCATTCTTGACCTTCTTCGTACTTCGGACCAGATTATCTTCCTCCTTAGAGGATTTCTCTAGTGATGAAGTGTCGTTGTGGGTAACCGTTGTGTTCAACATTCTAGAGAGAGAAAATAAGCAGATCTAAAGGATGAGAGAGTTTGAGTTCTAATAGTTAGTTGACCTCCTTTGTTCTCTTATAAAAAGTGATCTTTCTCTCCATACACGACAAACTTCTCCATACCCTTTACGCTGTGTTTGGTTGGAGAATTTAAAGAAGGATTTGAAAAGGAAAAGGGAAAAGTTTGGTAAAATATGAATAAAATATACTTACATTTCATCTAATTTCACACACCTTTTCTCTTTCTCTTTCCAAGTCCCTCCCGAAATCTCTCAATCAAACACAGCATTAGGAGAGCTCTCACTTCCACTCCTAAGAGATGTACCGTTTTGCCACTCACTCTCAAAAGACTATCTTAGCTCTGTCTCTCTCCTCATCTAATGATCTCGCACCATTTTTGTGTTTACCATGATTCTTAAATGACTCACAATCTACCTAAACCACTAATAATCAATATACTTCCATTCAAATAAAAAGTCGTATGTGCAACAACTTCTCAAAGATAAGATTGAAAAATACTATCATCAATTTGGATAAAGCGCTAAGGTTAAGCCAATATGGCCTAAAAAACAAATCGTGAAGTACTTGGGCAATGGGCTATGGTGCATGCTTTAAAAAATAAATAAAATAAAATCCTCAATCTAACCAATATCTACCATTATTGATGAACTCAGAGTTTTTTTAATTCATTTGTTGACAAAACCTCGTAGCCAAGACTGAGGCAAACAATTGAAAGACATTCTATGACAAGGTTAAACACCCAATGACTAATTGCACCTTTGAAAGAACTATAAATTCAAGGAGAGTTTTTAAATAGACTTGCCGAATTTCATTTTAAGGCAAATTTCACTTTATCTTATTATACTTTAGTTTAAAAATGACCACATAACCCTCTTTATGGTTTGTGAATTGAAATGCGCCGTTAGATTTGTTAACGATTTAATGAAAAAGACTAAAATATTCCTATATCTTTGCCATTTATTTGGAAAGCAAAGTGCATTTTAATCCCTTGTGTTTTATTCTATGTGCGATTTACCTCCCTTAAAATTTGAAAATGAGTAGATAACCCCTATATGTCTGCTACATGTTTCATACTTCCTGTCAAGTTGAACAGAATGTTTAACGGTACCTTTCAATCCATAAACTACATGGAAATTATATGGCTATTCCCAAGCATTAAGAAATAAACTGCACATAACTCAAATCATACGAGGTAAAGTGAAATTTGCCCTTATTTTTATATCCACTACATAAATAGTAGACCTTATCCAGGAGTTTGATGATTAAGCAGTTCTTCTATGGTCTTCTAATCCTTCTCAGGAGGCTTCTTGGGATTTTGACTCTGGGTATACTGTTGTTGGAGTCTTCATAGTTTTCTGTTTCCTCTTCCATCACATCATCACTCATAAATTCATTATTAGTTGATAGATCTTCAAGATCACTATCAAAATCTCTCTCATTTAGCTTGTATTCAATGAGGGCTTGCTCGAAAGACCTTCCTACAATGAGTGTTGTATCTTTGGTGGGATTTGTGGTTTCAATCTGGGTAGAGTGGTTTGTAATTTCCACCATATCATCTACTATAGGTGCGTTTTCAAGATCATCAGTCCCATTCTTGACCTTCTTCGTACTTCGGACCAGATTATCTTCCTCCTTAGAGGATTTCTCTAGTGATGAAGTGTCGTTGTGGGTAACCGTTGTGTTCAACATTCTAGAGAGAGAAAATAAGCAGATCTAAAGGATGAGAGAGTTTGAGTTCTAATAGTTAGTTGACCTCCTTTGTTCTCTTATAAAAAGTGATCTTTCTCTCCATACACAACAAACTTCTCCATACCTTTACGCTGTGTTTGGTTGGAGAATTTAAAGAAGGATTTGAAAAGGAAAAGGGAAAAGTTTGGTAAAATATGAATAAAATATACTTACATTTCATCTAATTTCACACACCTTTTCTCTTTCTCTTTCCAAGTCCCTCCCCTCCCAAATCTCTCAAACACAGCATTAGGAGAGCTCTCACTTCCACTCCTAAGAGATGTACCATTTTGCCACTCTCTCTCAAAAGACTATCTTAGCTCTGTTTCTCTCCTCATGTAATGATCTCGCACCATTTTTGTGTTTACCATGATTCTTAAATGACTCACAATCTACCTAAACCACTAATAATCAATATACTTCAATTCAAATAAAAAGTCGTATGTGCAACAACTTCTCAAAGATAAGATAGGCCTAAAGATTGAAAAATACCATCATCAATTTGGATAAAGCGCTAAGGTTAAGCCAATATGGCCTAAAATACAAATCGTGAAGTACTTGAGCAGTGGGCTATGGTGCATGCTTTAAAAAATAAATAAAAATAAAATCCTCAATCTAACCAATATCTACCATTATTGATGGACTCAGTTTTTTTAATTCATTTGTTGACAAAACCTTGTAGCCAAGACTGAGGCAAACAATTGAAAGACATTCTATGACAAGGTTAAACACCCAATGACTATTTGCACCTTTGAAAGAACTATAAATTCAAGGAGAGTTTTTAAATAGACTCACCGAATTTCGTTTTAAGGCAAATTTCACTTTATCTTATTATAGTTTAGTTTAAAAATGACTACATAACCCTCTTTATGGTTTGTGAATTGAAATGTGCCGTTAGATTTGTTAACGATTTAATGAAAAAGACTAAAATATTCCTATATTTTTGTCATTTATTTGGAAAGCAAAGTGCACTTTAATCCCCTGTGTTTTATTCCATGTGCGATTTACCTCCCTTAAAATTTGAAAATGAGTAGATAACCCCTATATGTCTGCTACATGTTTCATACTTCCTGTCAAGTTGAACGGAATGTTTAACAGTACCTTTCAATCCATAAACTACATGGAAACTATATGGCTATTTCCAAACATTAAGAAATAAACTGCACATAACTCAAATCATACGAGGTAAAGTGAAATTTGCCCTTGTTTTTATATCCACTACATAAATAGTAGACCTTATCCTTTAGGGAAAAAAACATTTATCCATGTGAATATAGGGAGAAATTTTATGAATGTTTTTAGAAGTTACAAATTCAAGGTGCATGGACTAATTATATTAAGGATTTTGTTTATTTATTTATTTTTTTGTCAACATTTTAGGTAATTAGATTTGGTAGTTTGTTAGTAAAGCTTAAAGAGTTGCCGGTGCTCCATCAGCTCGAACTCCTAAATTTTCCTCACTACTTGCCACAAGGGCCTTGGCTTAAGGATTTTATTAACAAGCGCTCTAAAAACCCTTAATAAGAAGTTTAAAATGTTAGTATATAATGCATAAGAATGTGTGCAACAAAAATAATGTATAATCAATTTAAATATTGGTGCAACTATCAGCATTTTAGTTTTGCTCTTATTAGGATCTATATGGTGTAGTTTATAAAAAGTTGATGTTAATCCTTACATGATAAAATGACAAATCAAAATTTAAAACCTATCAAATACATCATGATAAGTGATTTTTAAAAATAATAAATTATCTTAAATCATTTACTCGTGGACTTTCTTTCTCTTAAAAAAAATCCAAGACCTTGGGTAGATAGTAGATCGACCCGACTTGACCCATAACTCTTGGATCACCATGTCCGTTCAACTCTTCTGCATTAACAGTCCCCTTGATCATGAGGTGGAGTGAGAAAAGAAAAGAAAAGAAAAGAAATAATTGTAATTTTTTATCATTATATTTGAATGAATAAAAGAAAAGAGAATGTGATTTCTCACTTCTAAATAAGATAAAAGAAAAGAAAAAAAATGTTAAATTTCATTTTATCAAAATAACTTTTCATAATAAACTATGCTTTTCACATGATAATTTTAGTGTTTTAAAAAATTTTCATTACACCTAATTCAATTTCCACCAAATCACACCATTTTAGTAAGAAACAAAACATTCGTTTCTGATGTATCCAAAACAGTAAGAAACAAAACACAAATGTGATAATTCTTTTTTCACTCTCTTAGACCATCCGCATCAAGATCACCAAAATAACAAAAAACTAAAATATAGTTAATAAATCATCAAATACTCCCTCCATCAGCTTCAACAAATTTTTTCTAAATTAACATTTTCTTAGATTTGTTACAGTACGTCAACAACTTTGTTGAGGCACTGTTCATTCGTTATATGATTTTTTATTATATTTTCTACAGGAAAATTGAGCCAAAAATGCCGAAAATTAGCCTAACCGGTCGACCGGTAGGTGGACCGGTCAATAACAAATTTTTTTTTTTTTTGCATTTTTTAAGAATTGTTTGGATAGCACCTTATCAATTTAATAAAAAAAAAAAGAATAACAAATATAATAGCAAATTAATATTTTAATAAGACTGAGTTAGAATAGAGAATTTGATGCACTGAATACTAAAAAGGTGATTAGTTAAAATAGAAAAAGTGAATTTTAGGTTAAATTAGCTTAAAAATTTAAAGAACTCGATGCGGATGCTCTTATCATTTTACACTATTTATCATTTCTTAGAAGGTGTTTTGAATAATTTAAATAATTATATATATATATATATATATATTTTTTTTTTTTTACAAAAATATCATGAAAAAAAAAAAAAAAACACGTGACCTACAAAAAAAAAAAAAAAAAAAAAGCTATAGGATCGTCAAATAGTGCCCACAAGATCAACTACAGCAGATGGATGAGAAATAATTTCCATCAATCAAAAGCAATTACCTAATTCCTGTGATTCTCATTTTCAGTTTTCATCAATAATGGCAGCTGTCTACAGCTTCTACATCATCAATAAATCAGGAGGTCTCATCTTCTACAAGGTTCAAACCCTAAATCTCTCTCTTCATTTTTTTTTTTCTGTTCTCTATCTAATTCATGTGATGATTCATTTTCTGTTTTCTCTCTGTTTCTATATTAACAAACAGAGTAGCAAGTTTAATTTTGTTAAAAAAAAAATTTGGGAATTTTAATGGGAGGCATGAATTGGGGAAAATGTAATGTTATAGGATTACGGATGTGCAGGAAGGATGGATACGAATGATAGCTTGAGATTGGCGAGTTTATGGCATTCGAGCAGGAAGGATGGATACGAATGATAGCTTGAGATTGGCGAGTTTATGGCATTCGATGCACGCTATCTCTCAGCAGCTATCACCGATCCCTGGTTGTTTAGGGATCGAACTTCTTGAAGCCGATAATTTCGATCTCCATTGCTTCCAATCTCTTACTGGTACCATTTCATCTCATTTTCTTTTATATATTGTTCTATGAACAAATTCTAGTCTTAGATTTTTTTCATCAAATTTAAATTTGATAAATAAATAAAAAAAATACATAAAATTCATCCATTCATAAGATGTTTATGAAATCAAGGGAGAGACTTTATTTATTTATTTATTTTATCAAATTGAGATTTCATCAAATTGTAATTTGATGAAAATGTAGGCTTCGTTTGGCAAGTGCCCATTTTAGCTAAAAAGTCAAAAAATTATTAAAAAAAATCAAAAAGCCAACAACTCATACCTAAAAGTCAAAAAGATTCCATTTTCTCTCTACTTTTTACACATCTTTTCGTAAAAAGTCAAAAAATTATTCCAAACATACTAGTTTTTTTAACATCAGATTTTAGCCAAAAAGCCAAAAAGTTACTAAAAAAGCTTGTTCCCAAACGAGGCCTAAAAGATGGAGCATTGTATATAAATTTGGGATAAGAGGGTACTTTTATTTTTATTTTTTTTATTTTTAGATTGATGAAAATTTGATGAAAGGGTTGAAATAGTTAGTATCAAATCAAGCTTTTTACTCAAATTTAGAATCAAATTAGATGAAATTTTTTTTGATGAAGGGTTGGAGATGCTCTTAGAAATCAAATTGGGATCTATTAATGTTCTTTTCGAATGCGAAATTTCAATACCGCATCTTTAGAATTTTCTACAATCTACATATTGGAGTGGTGATGGATTAGGAATTTTTTGATGGTTTAAATAGGACTGGATGAACACAGAACACAAGTATTTTAAAAAGAATCTTTTTAAGCAATCAAAGAGTGACCAAAATGTATCGCCGCAGTTACAAAGAGGCAATGATGTGATAACGTATATAAGATTCCGGCAAGGCTTCCCCACATACTGTATGAAATTTGTTGTAACAACCAACTTGCTAGAATTTTCAATCTCACCACAATAAATAGTAGAGGAAATGAAAACCTTTTGAGTGTTGAGTACATAGTAGCCTGGGAAAGTAATGCTGTTAACAATTTGAAAATTTTCTCAAACAACACTTTTAAGACAAAGAAAAGACGTATGGTTTTTGGACAGGTAAAAGCAACCCATTAAGCCACAAAGGGGGCACAGCATATGTACTAATAATATGCATTGAGCAACTAATGAAAGGTGACAGACAGACACCATCTTATAAAGTTAAACCTATGCCACAAGCCTAAACCAATGGTCTAAGCTAAGATGGCTTTGGCGGAGTCATTTTTTGGCTATACCACTCCAATGGTAATTTGTAATTTTGGCATAATCAAGTGCCAAATCTAACTAACTTTTGGTTTATTTGGAGAAATTTTGGAGTAAACATAAAAAACAAAATTGTTTATTGGAAGCATGATAAAAAATTAAAAAAAAATCAGTCAAAAATATTTTGGTTTATTTGATCATTGCCAATAGTTCAATGATAAGTGTCTTTTCAGGAATTTGTGCAAAGTTCAATTTTTATAATTTGCATGGAGTTTTATTATTACTTGACAATGCTTTGAGAACTACTCATAATTTTTTATGATTTCTATTATTGTTGTGAAAATGTTTTGTAATTTTAGTATTTTTGGTATGAAAAAATAGTTCGGTTTTTAGTAGGAAAGTTGATTTGGCAAGGAATGGCTTTGCCAAACCTTGAGCCAAATTTGGCATAAAATTTGGCTTTGCCATTTTTTGACAATAGCTTTGGCTTACCATTGGAGAGGGCTTTTTGTGAGTTCTAGCCATTTTTTGGCTTTCGCAAGTTGTTTGACTCAACCATTGGCGATGCTCTTAGAGCAACTCCAATGGTTGTCTCCAATGGTTGTGCCAAATGCCTTGACAAAGCCAAAAAAATGGCGAGTTCACAAAATCACTCCTCCAATGGTGAGCCAAATGCCTTGCCAAAAAATGGCAAAGCAAACCATGAGTCAAATTTGGCTCAAAGTTTGGCAAAACTGTCTGTTGTTGCATCAACTTTCCTATCAAAATCCAATTGTTTTTAATTTACCAAATTCCTAAACTTTATACAAAAAATTTCTGAAATCACAATACCTTAACAATAATAAAAAATTTCAAAATTAGTGTCGACACTAGCAAAGCTTATCAAAAATTAATGTCCGACGCTGCACTAGTGTCAACACCTCTGTCATCAAAATCTTACGATTCGCGATTCGATTCACGATTCGATTCACAATTTTTGTAAAATCGATACGAATCTATGGGTGGATCTATTTTGGAAGTGAATCTCTAGTGAATCGTACGATTGACAATCGATTCACGATTCGATTCACTTTTTACGATTCATGCAATTTTTGAAATTATTGTGTCCGACATATTTCGTCTCTTTTTTTGTCCATCTTTTTGGTGAAAATTACATAATACAACTTCTAGTAGTGTTTAATACCAAAACAACTAACGTATATACATGATTTGTTGTTGTTTTAGTAATTATGGAGTTTTTAATAGGATCCAATCAGATTTAATCAGACCCAACATATTTTTAACCTTTCTTCTCATTTTTTTTCCTTTAAAAAATCATAATATATCTTCTAATGATGTTTAAAATTAAAGTTAAACTATGAATTATCTATTGCTGAGATCAGTTATATCTTTTAAAATGTTTTAGGTTTTAAAATAAAAGATTCTAAATAATTTTTTCTTATTATTTGCTTACTGTTACTTAGAAAAGTATGTATACTTATTGTCCAAATATCAATATCGTTAATTATTATTACTTTAGAAATTGATAGTTTGTCTATTTGGTTATTATTTTTTATTAAGAATGGTTGATAAGACATATCTAAAAAAGAAAAAAAGGTAAGATGGTGATCTTACATAGGAACCTTTGTTACCTTCTTACCTATTAAACTACGTGATTATCATTCAAAATAATATTTTCATAAATTTAAGTCTAAATATTTTATATTCATAAGACATATTTAACATCTAAATGTGTAGATATATGTTTTAAGTAATTTAGAAAAAATGACCGAATCTTTACGATTCACGATTCGATTCGATTCGCGATTCGGTACGAGGTCATTTCGATTCACGATACGAATCCCGATTTAACAACTATAGTCAACACTAGCAAAACTTATCAAAAATTAATGTCAACACTAGCAAAGCTTATAAAAATTTAGTGTCAACGTTAGCAAAACTTGTCAAAAATTAGTGACACACTAGCAAAGCTTATCAAATATTAATGTTACACTAGCAAGCTTATAAAAAATTAGTGTCAACACTGGTGTCAGCACCAGTGCCAACACTGGCAAAACTAATAAAAAATTAGTGTTGACACTAACAAAGCTTATCACATATTAGTATCAATACTAGTGTCAACATTAGCAAAGCTTATAAAAAATTAGTGTTGACACTAGTGTCAACTCTAACAAAGCTTATAAAAAATTTGTGTTGAGCAAAGCTTATCAAAATTTGTTGGAAAATTGATGAAACTCACTGTTGTTGAGCAAAGCTTATCAAAATTTGTTGGAAAATTGATGAAACTCACTGTTCTATTCAACCTTACAACCTCATCATGCTCTTAAATTACAAATTAAACTCATCCCGAATTCGATCCCGTAACGTTGCTCTCGGTTGATTTGTACCAGTAGTTGCATCTTCTATGATGCGCAACCATGCTTTAAAGAGTGGTTCACCTTCCGCCTTTGTCCGGTTGGGATTCCTTTCTTTTTATTGCAATTCACCCTTTCCCCCCTTCTTATTTTGTGTTGTGGCAAGATGTAAATCACTAATTTGAGAAGGTTGATGAGATTGAAATTGAGACTGTTCTGGAATAAATTGAGTCAATGGGGTAATTTATAGATTAAAAAATAACAAAAAGTTATATGAAAAATAATGGTTGGTTGGTAGAAATAAATTAGAACAACAAAATGGTGGAAGACAAGTTGTTGAAAAATTTAAAAGTTAGTTGGATTTAGCATTTGATTGTGCCAAAATAGCAGGACACCATTGGAGTGGTATAGCCAAAAAATAGCTTTTTTTGTACTGTAGCAAGCTAAAAAATGGCTTTGGCAAAGCCATTTTGGCTTTTACCATTGGAGATGCTTAGGGGTGGGAATTTTGACCTGACTTGCCAATCTACCCAACCTAACCCTTATTTTTAAGGGCTTGGGTTGAGATTTTGAGTTGTTTATTAAAGATTGGTCAAGTTTGGGTTGACATCTTCCAACAAGATTATAAGTAATTCAGTTTCATGATGAATCTATTGAGCCCCAACGTGTTATTATACTGTATTATATACATAATAATTAGACATTTGTGCAGTATTAAACCACTATTAGTTAATGATTTCATGTTGAGTACATTATTTTAACGTGTTATCATATCATTACTCAAAAGTATCAAATACTAATTAATAAGCTAATTACTTTAACAAATTTAAATTGTCTAAGCAATTTTAAATACAATTCGTATTTTTAGCTTAAAAATAACAAATAATATTAAACAAGTGAAGCAGAGTTCGGTTACAGTTTAAATGAGTTGAGTTTGTGTTTGGGTTTAGATTTAGGCCTCAATTTATTATAAAAAAAAAAATCCTTCATGAAGCATAGAGTTATTATCGTAAGAGAAGAAAAGAGGAGTGATGGAGAATGTCAGTGTGAGTGTTGGAAGGACAATTTTGTCTGAGTTGTGTAATTTGCATGGATCCAACTGTTTTATTTGTGACATTAGCACCACCCTAGCTATATAATAAGGCCTCGTTTGGGAACCCTCTCTTTTAGTCAAAAAGCCAAAAAGTTTACATGGTACAATCACAAAACAAATGCACTAGAAATGGTAATTTTTTTTGGTGCAACTCTAACACACATGAAGAGTTGCACTAAACACATGAATGAATTTGCAACATGCACATAGGAGAGTTGCACCATCATGAAATGCTCGACTAAAATGCAATTTGCCCTAATAAAATGCCTTTGTCAAACTAATAGCGGTACACATTACCGAGCTCATACCTCCCATCCATCTTTATTTATGGAATTTGTAAGAATCATCGCTTAGTCTTCCTTTGTTGGTCATTTGACTTCTTGATTCTCTCTTCCTAGTGGCTCAGTGCAGAGATCTATGCCAAGGTTTCTTGGGGGGAAAAAAGACTTGAAAACTGTCACTATTTTAAAAGCAGAAACCAAGCTTTTCTTGATATAGTTGTTTAAGATTTTCGAAAGTTAATTAAATTTCTATATAATGGATCAAATTTTTATAGTCCTTCGATTTTCAATGTCAATACTCGTATCATGTAAACCTTTAGTTATAGAGGACAAAATTGTTTCAGTTGCTACAGAGTTATTTCAAGTTTGTGATGAACTATGAAATATGGGTATTACAAAAATATTGCCGTACTTATACCAATACCAAGTATTGGTACGCATACCGATAGGGCTACATGCGTACCGGGTACTCGAAATACGTATCGGGTACTTTTTATATATTCTTTGGCAATTGGGTACTCCATGGGTACATGATGGCTACATTGGAGGTGCACCAAGTTATGAGACATTGGTAGAGATACGATTAATTTATTAGAGAAATGCGATTTACTTGGAATTACAAATCTTTTACTTGATGTGCCAAAGATGAAAGATGTATTATTCAATAATGAAATTGGTAGAAGTGAAAACAAATTTTGCTTAGCTTGCTTTTAAAATAAAATTTTGTTTTGTAATTTCTCTTATTTAATAGCATTGAAATTAAAATAACTTATGGACTTTGCTTTGATATTAGTATTGTTGAATTATGATTTCACTTTTGGTTTTGTAATTTATCCTTTAATTTTTGGTATTGAACTTTTATTTGTAAGTTGAATCTCAAACTACAAATTATAAAAAATAAAGAATTTTATTAACGCACCACAACTGTACTTGTATCCTATTTTTTTTTAGGTTCCGTACCCACACTCATGCTTCATAGGTGATGAAAAACTATGTTATTTAATTTGATGAGGCTTGGCATATGTCAACATAATGAGTATATCTTTTTATTTTGGTATCCTGTTGGTCACTGTTTATTCAAAATTGTAAGTAATTTGTGATTTCTCTTTTTGGAGATGAATTCTATTGTGTGAATCACTCAAAGCGATAGTTAAATTGCGGATTGTTTTTTTTTTTTTTTGGCTTGCAGGGACAAAATTCTTTGTGGTGAGTGAGCCGGGAACACTGCATATGGATGGTCTCTTGAAACATATATATGAACTGTACACGGATTATGTTTTAAAGAACCCCTTCTATGAAATGGAGATGCCCATCCGGTGTGAGCTTTTTGAAATCAACCTGACACAGGCAGTTCAGAAGGACCGTGTTGCCTTGTTGGGGCGATGAAACTTTCCTTGAAATGTGAGTTTGACTTGAGCTTCTTTTGATCTATTTTTGATGTTTTAAAAGAAAATTATGATCTCCAAGTTCGTTTTTGCAAGTTCAGTTTGATATTGTGCTACTTTGTTTGGATTGAATTGATATGTTCTATTTATAACAAGCCCAATTGGACCAAACTACCTACTATACTGTAAAGAATGAAGTGCTGAAAATTTGGAGTTTGCTTATTTAGCAACTTTTTGACTTTTTTTTTAATTGCTTTTTTGTCAAGGTATTAGGAATTTATTTATTTATCGACTTTGTTTAGTTTTTGAGAATAATAAAATATGTCACGCCAGTTGGTATAAATGGTTATTTTTCCATTTTACGCCTTTACGACACATGTTGACCAGGGCCTGTTATATAAGAGGATAAATTTGTCATTTTGTCACTTATTTTTTGGGTTCCCAAACACCAGTTTAGCTTCTAGTGCATCTCTCTATGTGTGAGTTAGAAATAGGTATTGCCATGCCCGTCCCACCCGTGTGCACGCCACTACACTTGAAACTGATAAGTCATTTAGTTTTTATGATTCAAACAGCCTAAACAATTTGTAAGTTGTATGCTTAGTATTGCAGGGTTCTGTTTGCTACCAAATGCAAAAAATTGTTTATGAAATTTATAAGCGATTGATATGAACAAATTTGTTGGGATTGTTAATTATCATATAATTTAATTAATTAGTATGTTAATTTGATGTCTCATTTCGCTTAAGATTTAATAATCTCTCTTATGAATTTGCTTTGAATTCTAATTTTCTTATAAAATTATGTATTGGGACAATTACCAAAAAAAAAAATCGTAAGGTTTGAGTTTTATAACAAAATAAAGAGTTTTTAATTTTATCAATTTAAAGCATAATTTTTTTTTTTATTTGTTTTCAATTTAAATTATTTACCTATTTTCATTAAGTAAATCCGGCGGAAAGAGTATTTTAGTTATTAAACTCAATGTTGGTATACATAAAATGTCTAAAATATTATTTTTATTGAGTTTAATGATTAAAATATTAATTTTTTCATTGATTTTACTTAATAAAAATAAGAAAATGATTTAGATTGAAAATGATTCAAAAATTTAGAGTTTAAATTGATAAAATTAAAAATTCAAGATTTATTTTGTTACAAAACTCAAACAATGGAATTTTTTTTTTTCTTTTTCGAATTTCCCTTATGTATTTTATCATATTATTAATGATTTATGTTAGGAATTTCAAATAAATTATCAAATTTTTTACCAAATTTCTCACATGGGTGTGACACCCATGTGAGAGGTTTGATAAAAAATTTAATAATTTATTTAGGGTTCATAACATTTTCATTATTAATTCAATAGTAAAGTCATGAAATTGAGCAAACTCCACTCTTCATACCAATGTCCTCTTATTCTCTACTCTCGCTGAATCCAAATCCTTTGTAATATGTTGCGTATAATGCACCTTATAGTGTATTAAAATGTATCATTTTGGTGAAGGGGAAGGGAAGAAGTGGAAAGATTTTTTTTGTTTAAATTTATTTTACAATGACTTTTTAATATACTATAGAATTCACTATAGGCAATATATTATAGGGGGCTCAGATTTGTTCTCATTATAGAGATGATGATCTAGGACTGCAAATTTGTGTGGCTCGCACAGTGTGTGTGAGGCCATACAAAAATTATTTCATACCCCATGTGACGTTGCTACAAATCAATCCAAGACACAAATGACCGGTTTGGATTGATTTGTGGCATTACAATGTCAATGCTCTTGGGACAATGAATAATTGCTCTTCGTATGTGTAATTAATGACAAAATTGAAAATTTACGAAGAATATATAACGAAGTTGGGAAATTTTATTTTCACATTCTAAAAACTCTTACTCTACATCTTTAATATACACACCAATCAATTTTGAATTTTGTAATTTTACTCAATTCACATTTCTTTTTGTCAAAAAAAAATTCGTTTCTTTAGCATTCAAACCCTAAACCAACACCCATTGCCACCGATGCTAGTCGCCATCCATGACCATGCATCGGCAACGACAGCAGCTCTGAGTCGCCCCTTTCCAGCCCTCTTTCATGGCTATCACTGCTTCAGCCATTCGCTCTACTCTTTCGCCAATCCTTCTCTAGGTATAACTATTGGGTGACGTATATTAATCTGCAAAACTCAACCCGACTGCATAATTAAGATTTTTTTTAAATATTAATATACGTACATAATATTTATTTGTTCAATAAATAAAATATTGAAGGATAATGTTATGGTACACACCATTTTATGACATTTATAAATTTCATTATTATAAATGTTATAACTCAATTTTATGGGAATCATAACTATAAAACAAAAAAAAAAATTATAATAAAAAACTACATAAGATATAACTAAAGAACTCTTAAATCATAACTAAAATAATGTAATAACCAATATTACAGTAAGTCCTAATTAATATCATAATAGGTCATGACCAAATACAACAAAGGTCATAACTAAGGTGCATGTAGAATTTTCCAATATTGAAACTTAAAAGAGACGCTTTTCACTTTTCAAAAAAGAGCATTATTATTAAGACTTAAAAGTTAAACCCAGTTTTTAGATCAAGTGATGTATGAAGAATATGATTGGTTGATAATTAAATATTCTTTAATTATCAATCAATCATCTTCTTGACAGGCCACTAAATCTAAAAAATAAGTCTAAAAAGTAAACTTATATACAATTTTCCTTAAATATATATATATATATATAACTGCCATTCCTCTATGTTGTTGGGTTAAAAAAAATTTAAGATTTTATTATAAAATAAGATTTGATCAATAAAAAATTTAGATTTTTCTCTTTGGTAGAATTGAGAGTTGTTCAATCTGCCAATCTTCTTAATCTATTCAATCGATTTCAAAATCAAAAGTAATTGGATGTGAATGAAATTTTTATTAACCCAAATTTCTTTCGATCGGATAACAAATGACATGCAACCCATCCAAATCCAACCGGTGAACACCCTACCGCCCAGTGTCATCGCATCAAGAGAATTATTATACTACGCGGACATTACTTGCCACGTGGGTTTCAGCCAAGCTGACATTTGTATTTTTAACATATAAATTAAAAAATAATAATATCAAAGACTCACATCTTATATTCACAAATGAATATACAACGATATAATAAAGGTGACGAGTAGTATGTTATTAAATATTTAACTAATAAAAAATTAACATTATCAAATTATATCAATATGAATTAAATTTTAAAACATTTATAAGAGTTTCAAAAATTATCATTGCGAAAAAATCAAAAAAGTGAGGTCCACGAGATATGGAATGCATGACAGCCGTGTGTCTTGTTTATTTTATTTTTCCGTAATTTTTGCATAAAGTGAGTCTAGCCACGTGTCTAGCTGGTGGACGGGAGCCTACATTCTCACCCCTGTAATAACACGCCACGTGTATACATCACATTTTTTTCACGTGGCAAGCGGCGTAAGCGTGACTCTGTTGATGAAATAGTTTTGAATAAATTGTTCATTTTTATTCAAAATTATAATTTGTGAATAAAAATGAAACAAACAATAAATTCAACAAAAATTCTAAAATAGGAAAAACATAATTAATTTTTATTTTTTACAAGAGTTAACCCTACCCTTCAAGGAATGAACGGAAATAACCAGATGTGCATTGGTAAATTACAAAAATTTAAAAGTATATTAAATAGCTCGGTTTTTAATTTAGTTAAATAAGTAAAAAAATTAAAAAAAAATTTATACGTTAAAAAAAATTATTTTAAAGTCGCCCAACTTTTTCCTTCATTAAAAAGTAATCTTTTTAGCTATTTCTAAAACACATTAACTATTACAAATTCTAAAAAAAGTCAAAAAATCAATAATCATTATAAAAAAATAAATAAAGTAAATAAATAAAACCAATGTCTAACTCCACCTTCTTGCAAGATAAAATTATAAAAAAATGTTATAAACTCTAAAAGTTTTACTAAATTTTTTATTAAATGTCTCACATAGATGTAGGATCCACAAGTCACACCCATGTGAGATATTTGACAGAAAATTTAATAAAACTTTTAAAATTTCTAGCACTATTCTAAAATTATAACCATATATTAAAGTGGTAAAATCTACCATCAAGGACAGATCTAAAATTATTATTATAGAGGTGTAAAAATATATTTAGAGGTATAAATTTTTATAATTTTAAATTATTTTAATATAATATATGATATTTTTAATTTTTTTTTTTTAAAATGCAGTCACCCCTACCAGCACCCCCACTATATCTATACTTGTCTACAATGTCCTAATGCGTTGTTGTCCACGAGTGCCAGTAGTGGGTTGAAGTGGTGCTCCAATTAGGGGTGGACGCGGGTCGGTTGCAGCCACAGAACCTCCAATCCGTTATCCGTTCGTCAGATTGGCGGATTGGAGAAAATCAATCTGCATCCGTCCGCCAATCCGGCGGATGTGGATTGAGCGGATTGGCGGTTTGGCGGATGGATGCGAATCGGTTTGGCGGTTTAAAATTTTATAAATTTTCAACATAATTCAACTTGTGCACTTTCTCAAAAAAAAAAAAAAAGAGAAAGAAAGTATTACAGTTACTTAAAAAAGTATTACAATCACTGTATGCCTTATCTAAAGAAAGAAAGTTTAAACTGCATGCCTCATCCACATATTATAATCACAGCATGATTCATCCACATAAAGTATTACAATTTGTGGTTCTTAAAATATAATAACAATTCAAAGCACTAAAACCATGAACAGAACAGTAGTAGAGATTGTATGTTTCTGTATTGTTACATCTTTATATGTTTTTGAAAACAAAAACCAACCAGCATATATCATATTTTCTATTTATTATTTTTAGATTTAGATTTAAAAACCAAAAAATATAGATAAATATTACGTTTATTTTTTTCAATTCAAAAAATATATTCAAGTTGAAAACTTTTTTTTAACAGAATATTTAAACTCTTTTTCAATTGAAAACACAAACATAATATTTAAACAAATTAAAAACACAAAATCTTATAAATTACTAGGGGTGTTCGTGGTTTGGCGGTTTGGTGGTTCGGTTGCAAATAAATCTCAAATCTGCCATCCGTCCGTCAAATTGGCGGATTGGAGAAAATCAATCCGCAACCATCCGCTCGTCATCACGCATCCGTCCAAAATGCGGCGGATTTGTTTGGTTCGATCGGTTTTGGTGGATCGGTATATCCGCTGCTCACC